TTTTCAAAGCATGCCATGCACTGAGTCCTTTACACTGGGACTATGGACTCCCTCCTTCAAAGGGTGTTGTGTGCTGAGTACTCTACCCAGCATACTACATGCTGAGTCCTTCAAAAGGAGCTGTGTGCTGAGTCATTACACAGGGTGCTGTGTGCTGATTTTGGAAGAGTGCTGTGTGCTGAGTCATCCCAAAATGTGCTATGTTCTGAGTCCTTGAGAGGTGGTTATCCCCATCACACACACACACACACACACACACACACACACACACGAGTGTCACCATGCACCTGCTTGGTGTGTGGAGTGGAAGGGGATGGAGGAGAGTCTCCTCCAGCAGTGGGGCTGAGGGGAGATTCGATCCCCTAGGCTGGTACTGGGGGTGGGGGGTAGTGCTGAGCTGAGGTAAGTCTGCAAGTGCCATGGTCTAGAAGCCTCAGGAGCCAGTCAGGGCTGCAATTGAGGCCAGAGGTGAGGGCGGGACCAAGGGGAGGAGGGGGGGGCCCAGGGGCACACTTTGGTGGCAGCAATGGCCAGTGGCCCAAAGGGGCGGGTGTGTGTGCAGAAGGGGTGGGGTGGCCCTGGAGAGGAGTGTGGGGCCAAGAGAGAGCTAGGAGAAGAGCGAGCATGAGCACTAGCACCCATGGAAACAGCTTCAGTGGCTGGCGGCTGCTCCGATCATAGTGTGGGTCTTGGCCTGGAGCGCAGAGCATGCGGAGCCTGCATGGCAGGCACATTGCCACATGCAGCCCCTCGGAGGCGCCCAGCCATGGTGGCCCTGAGTCTGAGGTCCCGGTGTGGGGAACAGGGCAGAGGCAGTGGCTGCTGAGGCGGCAGCCGGCACAGGTTAGGAGGCCGCTGAGGCTAAGGGGGTGGCTGAGGAGGAGCAGAGGCTGTGCGAAGCTCCACCACGCGCCCGCTCTGCATTTCAAACATGGCACTGCTGGCTGGGACCCGTGGAGCCTCTAGCAGTCACCTGGCGGAGCTGTTTTGCCCCTGGCCTGCTTGTGGTCCTGACTTGGTTCCGGCCCTCGGTCCTCAGACTCCCGGCACACACCCTGAGAGGCAGCCTACAGCTTCTCCCAGCAGCTCAAGTGAGTGGCCGACCTGCACTCCTGCACTCCATGACCCCCCCATAAACCCGGTCCCCCACTCTACCCTTCCTCCCCACCCTCGCGGACCCGCACCCTTGCCTCTCCCCTCCCAGTCCAGTCCTGCCTGCACCTCCACCGTGCCCCACAGTCTGTCCTGGCTCTGCCACAAATGCACCCTAGGGGTGGGGAGTGGAGGTGGGTGTCCACCCAGGGATCCCACCCTCATCCCTAGATGCCAGTGTCCCAGGAAAAGGGAAGCTTCAGGGATGGGTGAGGAGGGGGCACCACAGAGCCCCTACCCTGGAGCAGTGGGAGCCACACAGCCTTGCATCTGCATCCTTTCTCTCCCTGGTGGGAACCTGGTGGCTTTAGTCAGAGATGGAGAGCAGCACCCCACACTTGCCTTCTTAGGTCTTTTCCTTTTTGCTGGGGAGGGGGATGTCGGATACAGAAGATAGGCCCCCTTGCTGTGTGAGCCCTTGTCTTCTGTGCTCAGTCACCCTTTCACCTGAGGACATTCCCAGAAGAGCCCACTAGAGAGGTGAGGGCACTGGGGTCAGATAGAAGGTGGGTATTTGGGAGAAAAAGACACCCCCTCTGACACACATACAACCGGCCTGTACCCCCAACCCCAGCTGTCAACAGTTCTGACTGGGTGATCACATTTCCCAGTTCTGCCGGCTTCTGCTAGTGCTCCCAGTCCATCTGGTCTCCTCGTCCTCCCCAAGAATCTGCCAAGTTGCCCAGAAGTATGTAGGCTGGAAGTAGGGAGTCCATCCATGTATATAGCCTTTAGGACCTCATCAAAGTCCCCAACAATGCCCCACCCCAGGTCAGACACCTCTTTGGAGGCACCATGATCCTCTGCTTTGTTTTCTGTCCAGACTCTGAGGAGCCACGTTTTTCAGGACTCCTTCACCCAGCGTCCTAGCCTAGGGTTTTGGTGAATGGGGAGTCAAGGCTGGTTGTTCCCAAGGGGAAAGGTCTGGCCCTGGAGAAAGGGGGAGGCAGGGTGGTGCTGCATTATTAGAGCATTGTTCCCCTTGGGTGGTTGCCCCTGGTTCTGACAAGGGAACTCCAGTGCTTGAGCTGGTACATTGCCCAGATGAGAAACCAACAAATTCAGGAGAAGCACTGCTCTGAGTCTGTGTGTTTAGGTGTGTATGAGAGAGAGAGAGAGAGAGAGAGAGAGATCATCTTTCTCATTGTACAGTGAGCATGTCTAAAAAGAGAAAAAGCATTTTTTGGGGGGGGGTCCGGTTGTGAGGTCTGAACTCTGGGCCTGTGTGCTGTCACTCAGCTCTTCAGCTCAAGGCTAGCACTCTACCACTTGAGCCACAGCACCACTTCTGACTTTTTTCTTTTTGTTTATGTGGTGCTGAGGAATTGAACCCAGGGCCTTGTGCATGCAAGGAAAGCGCTCTACCACTGAGCCACATTCCTAGCCCGAGCAAAAGCATTTTATTTGTGTGCATGTGTGTATTTGTTGTTCTTTTTTCATTAATGCCCAGTATGAGCCCAGCCACAGTTTTTGTTTTCTCTTTCACATTGTCATGGCTCCTTTAGAGAAGGTTTCATTAAATGTTCCTTCCCACCACTTTCTTCCCCTTACCTGCAGCCCACAGTAACTGCTGGGCCTGCGTGGGTCTCTCCTAGGAGGCCTGTGTGAACCGCAGACCAGCGTGGATACCTGCTCTTCTGTCTTTAACCAGAAGGCTCATGAGGCTACTGTGACCACAGCCCCACTCTTCCAGCCAGACAGTCTACTCTCATGTGTACAGTTGAGCTAATTCAAAGTTGGGAATGTATCTGCCAAACATAATTAGGGAATGAGATAGGGGTTGTAGGGCAGGGGCTGTGAAGCTAGGAGGGTCTGGGAAGTGATAAACGGTGTGACATGGCAGATGGTTCATCACGACTGAGGATGAGAGGGGAATCTTACCCAGGGCATTGACGGTGTCCATGGGCATCTGATCAGGGGGCTCCCGGCCCCCAATGGTTGCATGGAATTCCTCCCAGGGCAGTGTACTGGTGGGCAGTCCTCCCTGGAGTCCTGCAGACTCCAATCTGTGTCCCTACTGGGCTGTTTCCAGCTGGGCAATGGTAGGCAAGTGTGTTCCCCCTGCTGGAGCCTGCTTGGGATCAGCACATGGCAGTTAGCTAAGGCTCTCTGAATGGCATTTTCTGTAACCTGCTGTAGGCTGTCTGGAAGGAAAAGGGGACTACTGATTTTGGAACCCATTAAGTTTGATTGGGACAAGTGAAATGCCAGCTTTTCCAGGGTTTTTCCTTTTTTCTTTTTTTTTGTCAGTCGTGGGGCTTGAACTCTGGGCTTGGGCGCTGTCCCCTCAGCTCTTCAGCTCAAGGTCAGCACTCTACTACTTGAGCTACAGCACCACTTCCAGTTTTCTGGTGGTTTTATTGGAGATAGGAGTCTCACGGTCTCATCTGTCCGGGCTGGCTTTGAACCGCGATCCTCAGATCTCAGCCTACTGAGTAGCTAGGATTTTAGGTGTGAGCCACCAGCACCCTGCCAGGGTTTTTTCTTGAAGCTGGCAATTTCTACGTAACGCCTGGAATTCTGGGTCAAATTAGATGGACCTTTCAGCCACCAAACAATGACGTTCAAAGCAGCACAGGCAGAGTTCCCAAGCCAGATGGTTTCCTGCTACTATCGTCGGCTGCTGCTGATTCTCCTCCGGCTCTCTCTAGGGTGACCACCACAGTTGTGGATGTCTTGGGGAGCAGAGATTGTGATTGTGACCTCACCATCCGCAGCCTGCCAGCTGTGAACATAGACAATTCCCAGCACCTGCACTGGGAGATTCAGAGACCTGGGATGCCTCAAGGATCCTTTCTCTGGAACATGAAACTTGGGGGACGGATCTAGTGGACCATCCTGTCTGCTCCAGGAGTGGAGAGGAGGCCCCTTGAGCCTGGCGTTCACCTCACAGCAACCATATTCACACCTGAGTGGGGAATGGAGTGCCACAGAGCTGGTCAGTGGCTGAACAGAGAACTTTGAGAAGATAGGCATACCAGAGGCTCAGGAATCCAGTGAGGACATCATGGCTACGTTCTTGGAACCAAAACAGTTAAGTGCAGTGGCACCAGGAGGGTGGGAAGAGGGAGGAGGGAGAACTGTGGGAGAGCTACCTCAGGCTTTGCCCCCACCCAGGATGCTTACCTGAATTAGATGGAACTTGTCTGTAGTATTGTCATAGACAGATGCTCATTTATTTATCCAACATACTGTTACAGCATGTGCCAAGCCTGGGGAGGGAAGAGGGGGGCTCATACACGATGAAAGGTTCCAGTGCTGGTTCCACAGCACATGAAGAAATCTTGGTTTGGGCTGGATATCATTGCTTCACTCCTGTCATCCTAGCTACTTAGGAGACTGAGATGGGAGGATTGAGGATTAAGGCCCATGCAGGAAATCCTATAAGACTCTTATCTCCAACTAACTACCAAAAAGAAAATGCCAGAAGTGGATGAGTGGCTCAAGCCATAGACTGTTGGCCTTGAGTAAAAAGGCTCAGGGACAGCACCCAGGCTCTGATTTCAAAGCCTATGGGTGACACAAAGAGAGGAAAGAAAAAGAGAGGAGGGAAGGATGGAGGGAGAAAAGGAGGAAAGGAAGGAAGAAGGGATCATGCAGGCCTTGGTTTGGAATCCCCTGCATCACTTCTGGTTTTCTGTTGGTCCTTTGAGGATAAGAGTCTGACAGATCTTTCTGCCAGGGCCAGCTATGAGCCATGGTCTTCACATCTCACCCTCTGTGTAGTTAGGATTATAGGCCTGAGCCACTGGCACCTGGCTTAAGTGTAATTCTGGTCCTCTCTCTCCATCTCTCTTCCCCTCCCCCCTCTCTCCCTCTCCTTCTCTCTCTCTCTTTCTCTCTCTCAGGAACTGGTTGAATGGGTGCTGGAGGAGGTAGCCCAGCATCCCCATGTGGCTGGAACCCACAGTGACCCTCTCATTCTGGAGGTGGGCTGTGGGTCAGGAGCTGTTTTGCTCAGCCTGTTGAACCAGCTTCATGAGGTAAGCCCCTCCGTGCCCCGGCTAGACCATGACGGTTATTCATTGTCCATCCCATGAGTCCTTCCCCATATCCCTCTGCTACACCGTTGAAGGAAAGTGGATGAGAAGGTGTCACTTTTCCTCCCTGCCCAGCATAATCCTGGGCCTCTGACCTATACCCCCACCTATCTGACAAGACCCTGGCTGTAAGTCAATAAAAACACTCTGTGTGTACTACCCTTTGCTGGGGAGTGTCATTTTGGTTAGGGGGGCGGGGTTCAGAGGAAAGACCCCAGACCTGACACCTCCCATTGGACATTTGTTCTTGTGACAGAGCCAAGTCATTGCTGTGGATAAGGACGAAGCCTCCTTCAGACTGACCCAGAACAATGCTCAAAGATAGGTAGGCTGTTGAAGTATCAAACCCACTCATGTCTGCTTCCTACTCCCAACAAGGAGGTGTAGTGTGGGTGGTCCAGCCCTGGGCCTAAGGGATTATAAATGGATGGTGGCGGTCAGGAGGTCATGGCTCCCACCCATCATCCTGGCTCTTTTGGAGGCTGAGGTCTGATGGGCAGCCGGGGCAGGAAAGTCCGTGAGATTCTTATCTCCCATAAACCACCTCCCTCTCCAAACCCACACATAAGCCAGTGCTGTGGCTCAAGTGGTAGAGCCTCAGCCTTGAACAAAAGAAGCTCAGGGGTAACACCCAGGCCTTGAATCCAAGTCCTAGGACTAACACAATCATAAAATAAATGAACAGTGTGCACCTTTTATCTGACTACCAAGAAAGATGGATACAGTCTTCTGCTGGTACTTGTAGCCAAAGGTAAGGGGCTCCCCTTGATGTTCCCCTAAACCTCTCCTTCTCTCCTTTATCTGTCCAGGCTAAGGCTGCAGGAGAGAATTCGGATCATCCCCCTGGATGTGACCTTAGGTACCCCTCCACCTTCCTTGGGGTCAGGATCCTGGATGCACTCCCTGCTGGGAGGATGAGGCACTGCAGAGATGAGGGTAGGTATCCCGGACACTTTTACTCACACACACACACACAGACACACACACACACACACACACACACACAAACACACATACGAACACACAAACACCCCTAAACCAACTCAGACTAGCCTTTTCCAAAGACACTTTATCTCCTTGGATTAACTGACCTAGGAGAGAATTTTGATCCCCTGTAACTGATTATTTTAAGTTGGGCTTGCTAGTTGACAGGAGATAAACAGGAACAACAACAACAAAAAAGCCGTTGGTGCCCATCACCTGAGGCTCAGGCTCATGCCTGTCATTCTGGCTACTCCGGAGGTTTAGATCTCAGGATCACAGCTTGAAGCCAGCCATAAGCTGGAAAGCCTGTGAGACTCTACTCTCCATGGAACCACCAAAAAGCTAGAAGTGGAGCTGTGGCTCAAGTGGTAGAGCACCAGCCTTGAACAATAAAACTCAGAGAGACAGCTCCCAGATCCTCAGTTCAAGCCCACACAAAGAAATGGCCCCATCTTTTTGCCCACAGATTGCCTGGGCCTCGAGTCCCCTCTCATGGAGTGTGATACAAAACCTGTCCCTGGGTGGTGTATCAGGGCCTTCAGAAATCCGGTGGTGGAATCCAGGCCTTTCCCTTTGTGCACTATCAACTCACATTGGCTTGAAGGCAGAGTCTTACAAGGCTGGCAGCCTGAAGAGTGGAGAGGCTCCAGCTCTGCCGAGGTGATCGGAATGGTCTTCTTGGAGGCAGCACTTGAAAAGGGGGTTTTGCTTAAGTAGGAGGATCTGACAGGAAGCACAGAGAGCAAAGGTGCTGAATATGATGGACAACACAGCAGAGCATGTTCATTTCCAGCCAGGGCTGCTGGTGAGAGACTCGGTATAGATGTGCGACTTGGTATAGATGTGCAAGACTATCCCTATACAGGTCTGAGGGATCATAGAAGAACAGCTATCCAGGGCTGGAATTGTGTCTTAGAGGTAAAGGGCTCATCAAGCTCGCAGGAAAGTACAGTTTGGATTCCTAGGTCCTGCATACACAGAAAAAGCTGGAAGTGGCACTGTGGCTCAGGTGAAAGAGCCCTCCCCTGGAGACAAAGAAAGTCGGGGACAGCGGACAGTGCCAGGGTCCCGATGTCAAGCCCCAGGGCTGTCACCATAAAACAGTTCTCCCAGGGATCTTTGTGACAGGTTGATGGCTATGCCCTGAAGCTCTTAGTAGATCCATCCGTGCTTTGTGTCTCCTTTGACAGAGGGGAGCTGGATACTCCTTTTGCCCTGCGCACCCCTGGATCCATTTATCAGCAACCCTCCCAAAGTCTTCCCCCGGGACATGGAGCAGCTGACCCCAGAAATCCTCAGGTACTGGTTGGGTGGGGCAGGAGGATATAGGGCAGGCCCCAGAACTCCTTGTGGGTCAGATCTGCCCTGGAAGACCAGGCAATCAGGAGGAGGCAGATGGGAGCTTAGAGAGGGCTAGTGATGTGAGGGGGCCCTTTAATCCCCATGGCCCCACCCAAATTCTGAGCCCCTTTGCTGTCCCTGAGGGAGGTAGAGGGGTGTCTAGGTGGTAGCTTCTAGAGGAGGAGTAGGTGGAAATTCTGAAGGACTAGACACCTTAAGCCAGTCGCTCACCCCTCTCATCCCACACCTGTCATCCTGGCCACTCAGGAGGCTGAGATCCAGTGGATCTCATTTCCCAGGAAAGTGTCACAAGAAGCTCATCTCCAATCCAACTGGAATTGGCACTGTGGCTCAAGTGGTAGAGCACTGGCCTTGAAGAAAAATCGACATCAGGGACAGTACCCAAGTCCTGAGTTCAAGCCCCTCAACCAAAAAAGTAGAAAAATAAAAGAAAATAAAACAGGAAAGAAAGAAAGGCATCCCTTCCTTGATTGCAAGAGATGTTGAAGCAGTGGGGTTGCTATGGTTGGGAGACCAGATGCTGGCCTCCCCGGGTTTGCCCCAGTATGAAGCCGTAACAGTGTGGGTGGTGCCTTACCAAGAACTCCAGAGGTTGTGGCCTGTGGTAGGCAGGGAGTGGGTGAATGAGAGCAGGGGTGGGATGGCAGTGTCAATTATATGCTCTCCATTCATGGAAGAATGGTTTTGAATGCTGGTGACAAAGTCTGAAGTGTAGGGTTACATGTGGTTTGTGTCTTGATGAGTTGGGTTTTCCCTTGGTATTAGAAGGTGGCTGAAGCCGGTCATTGCCAGTGGCTCACAACTGTCATCCTAGCTACTCAGGAGGCTGAGATCTGAGGATCGTGGTTCAAAGCCAGCTTGGGCAGGAAAATGTGTGAGACTTTATCTCCAATTAACCACTAGAAAGCCAGAAGTGGTACTGTGGCTTCAGTGGTAGAGTGCCCACCTTCAGCTCAAGAGCTAAGGGATTGCGTGCAGGCCCAGAGTTCAAACCCCATGACTGACAACCAAAAATAAAGTAGCTGAGTTTTCTGCATAGTGGTATGTACATTTAGGAAATGCCAAGATGTGTTATGAGCCATTCCAGATGTGTGAGATGTCCTGAGTTTTGTCTACACTTGGTCTGAGGATGGTAGTGCCATCTTCTTGGGTGTGGGATGTTCAGGGTGCTCATGGACTGCTGAGGCCTTGGGCTAACTGTGTGTGTGTGTGTGTGTATGTGTGTGTGTGTGTGTATTTTTCCTTGGCCTCTCTCTGTCTCCTTCCTGGGTGCCTGTCTGCCTCTTTCTGACCTTGGATGTTGCCCCTCCTCCACACTGACCTTGCCCTTTAACCCCCTGTCAGGGTCTATAATGAGTCCTAAATTGCCAGAGGCCTGCATTCCAGTTTTTCTTTGGGGCCTAAGTCCAGCCTGTACAAATCTTTGGGCACCTCCAGGGGATTCTGTATTCTGGGTCACCATGGCCAGCTAGCATAGGGTCTCCCTTGCCTCTGGGAGGCCTCAGTCATGCGATGTCCTGACTTTTCCTCAGCTGGGTCTCTGGCTGCACATCCCTCCCTGCACGCTGGCAGTGGAGTGGGGAATGGAAGTTTTCCCGTGGCTCTGGCCAACTCGAGCTTGATGGCTGACTGAAGGCCGCCCAAGTAAGGAGGATCCGGGGTTACATGTGAGGTGAGGCCAAGGTGGCTTGGAAGTATCCGTCAGTGTCTAGGAAATGTCAACATACGTTGTCACAGGAAAGTCTATTTCCCCCCCTCCCCCCAGCTTGGCTGCTCAGGTCCTTCTAGACAATTCTGGATGCCCAGAATACAGATGCACACACTTTAGATTCTAGGTCCAGGGAACTGGGGCATGAGAGACTAGTATGGCCAATACCTCAATGTTCTGGGGCATTAGCCTTGACCTGGCTATGCCCCCCCTTGTTGTACGTTCACTTCTTAATTCAGTGCTGGCCCCACACCGGCCACTTGTGGCAGTGCTGTGAAAGTGGCAGGAGTGGAAGTGAGATCCAGGGTAACCAAAATCTGGTTTATGGCCTGATTGGGGGTGGGGTGGGGGAAAAGGTTGTCTTTAAAATGTCTTCGAGCTGGAACTCAGGGCCTAGGCACTGTCCCTGAGCTTCCATTGCTCAAAGCTAACACTCTACCACTTGAACCACAGCTCATCTTTCATCTTTTTTAGTAGTTTAGTGGAGAGAAGAGTCTCACGGACTTTCCTGCCTGGGCTGGCTTCAAGCTGCCATCCTAAGAGCTCAGCTTCTTACGTAGCTAGGATTGCTGGTATAAGACATTGGGACCTACTAAGGATGTTTGTGTGTGCTTTGTGTGTGTGTGTGTGTGTGTGTTTGTGAATTTACCGGGGCTTGAACTCAGAGCCTAGGTGGTATCCTTTAGCTTGTTTACATAAGATTGGTGTTCTACCACTTGAACTACAGTACACTTCAGCTCCCAGAAGCCCCTGACTATGTGGAGAACATAAAGCTCAAACCTGATCATATTTCTTTGACCTCAGGGAAGGGTATGATTCCTCTGCAGTCTGGAGGTGTAGGGGTGGAGTAGGAGGGGTAACTGTAGATGGGTGCTAGGCTGGTAGAGAGATACTCTGTCTTTAGCCAAGAAGGATAGTGATAGCTCAAGCTCTCATTTTCCTAGCTACTCAGGAGGCTGAGATCTGGGCCAGGAGGGGCAGAAGCTGCAAGATGGCACGGCAGGTAATGCCTGCTCATACAGGGATCACAAAAGTGCAAATCTGTCAGGCACACCTCGGGGGAGGGGGTGTTGAGTTGGGCTCATGAAAGACTTGTGTGCTCACAAATCCACAGCCGGCTGGCTGCTACTTCTAGCAGCAGCCTGGAGTCCCAGGGCTCAGAGCCCTTCTTTCCTCACCAGTGCTTGGGGGCAAATGAAGGTCTGCAATCATGGGCCAACTACAAAAGAGTATGCGTAGTGTTCTTTCATTTGGTCCTGTGGCCCCATGCATGGATGGAGGGGCGGGTTCCCTGGAGCTTACTGCCTTGGCCCAGACCCCTCAGCCCAAGAAGGACTTAGGGAGAAACCACATGATCTGGCTTAAGAGTTTACTGTGACTATGCCTCAGGACTGCCCCCAGTTCTGGCTCAGCTCATCATTACCACCTTCCTGTGTGTGTGGGTGCATCTTGGTACTAGGGCTTGAACTCAGGTCCTGGGCTCTGTCCCTCAGTTTTTTTCATTCAAGGCTAGCACTCTACCACTTGAGTCCCAGAAGAATATGTCTCACCAGGCTCACTTTTTTTTTTTGCCGGTCATCGGGCTTGAACTCAGGGTCTGGGCATGCTCCTGAGCTTCTTTTGCTCAAGGATAGCCACAGTGCCACTTTTGGCTTTCTCTGTTTCTGTGGTACTGAGAAATTGAACCCAGAACTTTGTGCATGCTAGGTAAGCACTCTACCACTAAGCCACATTCACAGCCCAAGGCTGAATTGTAACTGGAGTTATGAGGGTGGGATTTATTGGCTTACCCCATTTGGCATAGAAATCACTGACTATTTCATATCTTTGCTGAGATTTAGGACCAGTCTATGACTCGGCAATGAGGAATGATGAATGAATGAGAGCCACCAGGCCCCAGAGGTCTAGGTTCACATACTACAGAGGGATAGAGAATATGGATCCTGAACCTTCGACCACTCCTACAGCCTAGCAACTCTGAGGGCTTGTCCCAGCTTGCCCAAGTTGGGTGGGCTGAACATGGACAACCTGCTGAATGCCCATCATTCATATATCATCCATCCATACACAGAGACATGGAGTTACTGCTGCCTTTTTTTTGGAGGGGGGGCAGGTCTGGGGTTGAACTATGAACCTAGGCCCTGTCCCTGAGTTCCTTTTGCTCAAGGGCAGTACTCTGCAACTCGAGTCACGATCCCACTCATGTTTTTTTTTTTTGCTGTTGTTGTTGTTTTTCCCTGTGATCTCTTAGAAATAAGTGTCTCCTACTTTCCTGCCCTGGCTGAATTCAAGTTGGCATTCTCTACATCTCAGCCTCCTGAGGAGCTAGGATTACAGGCAGGAGCCGCTGACACCTAGCTTTCTTTTTTTGTTCTTTTTTAAACCATGACAATCTGAAATCTTCACTGTGTCATTCCAAGGGTTTGCATTAGAAGTAAACTACCCTGGAGTTTGATTGCTAGGATTGCCACCCACAAATGGAGGGAGACCCTGACAAACTCATTCCTATTCGTGTGAATGCTAATGAAATATTATAAAAGTAATAATTAAATTTGCAGTTAATTCATGATTCTATTTTAGAATGCCACACAAATATTATTGGATTTATATCTTCCATTCTAGCACCATGGTATGATTCCCCTAATTGAAAGATTTTGACTAATTTTTAATTAATGCTTGTATAAATATTCAACCATGATACTTCATTAAATGGTGGCATAATGTAATAACTAATAATTGGTAATTATATATATATAATTTAATATCATCACATTCCCTCTCTCAGTATATATCTATATATATACACACACACATATATACATATACATATCTATTAATGTATATATTGGGTACTAGTGTGACTTGATCAAAGGTCTTCAGAACTTCCTGGCAGCTCTGTTTTCTGGAGGCTGGTGTGCTAAGACTGTGATCCCATTTATGGATTGGGCATTGTAGGCCATGAGTTGAAATCCCAGCAAGGCCAAAAATTTATTCATGGAGTAAGAAGCCAACTTTGACACATATTTTTTCCTTCTGTGTGAAAGTCCTGGGTCTCAGTATAATGTATAATCCAAATGCAAACATAATCTAGGTGATATGATGTAATAAATGAAGTGTTATATGTGTAACAATGCTAAATAAATAAGGGTAGTAAACGCCATACGCAGTAAACCCATGTATGTAAATAGATCTCATATATGAATATTATTTTTTCCAGTGCTGAGGCTTG